ACGAATCTATACGACTCTACGTCACGAACACCGGCCGTCATAATTTAATACTTGGCCAACCCTGGATGAACAAGCACCGAGTAAACCTAGACTACGACAAGGAAGGACTAATCTTCACCGCTCAACGATGTAAAGAACGTTGTCTTAGAACTACTAGAACTCCTGTTCTCTCTCCTGAGGTACAGTGGAGCAACAACAAGCATGATGAAGCCTACCCTCAAAACCCAAAACTTAAGCATGTGCCACGACAACGGCACGACCACTGGCTACCTAAGATGAAGCGCCAGTTGAACGAACTTGTACCCGAACCTGTACCCGACCCTGATAGTGCCCAGCCAACAGACGAACAGAACGACTCGTCGAAGTTGCAGCCAGAACTCGACATCTACTGTATAGGTGCTGCTCCGTTTATGAGCCTAGCACGCAAAAGAGGCTATGAAATCTGTGCTGTTAGCATTGCCGACATTGACAAGGCACTAACTGAGAAGAAGCACACCGATCCACTCACGAAAGTCCCTCAGGAGTATCATGACCTGATAGACGTCTTTTCACGAGAAGAGTCTGATAAGCTGCCTGTACGACGGCCTTACGACCACAAGATTAAACTAATACCCGGCAAACAGCACGGGTTCGGCCCACTGTATGGCATGTCTCAGAACGAACTCAAAGTGTTGCGCAAGTACCTCGAAGATCACCTGTCGAAGGGATTCATTCGCGCAAGCTCCTCCCCAGTCGCCTCCCCTGTTATCTTTGTTAAGAAACCCGGCGGCGGACTACGCTTCTGCGTCGATTACCGTGCCTTAAACGCCGCCACTGTTAAGAACCGTTACCCAATCCCGTTGATCCAAGAGACCTTGAGCCGACTGAGCAAGGCCAAGTATTACACGAAGCTCGATATTATTGCTGCCTTCAACCGATTGAGAATTGCTGAAGGAGACGAATGGCTAACAGCCTTCCGCACTCGATATGGGTTGTTCGAATATCTAGTGATGCCCTTTGGACTAGCTAATGCGCCGAGCACGTTCCAACACTTCGTGAACGATGTACTACGCCCGTTCCTAGACGTCTTCTGCACGGCCTACCTCGACGATATCCTGATTTACAGTGAGAATCTCCATGAACATAAGGAGCATGTACGATCTGTTCTAAACGCCCTTCGAGAAGCTGGACTCCAACTAGACGTAGACAAATGCGAGTTTCACCAGACTGAGGTGACTTACCTTGGCTACGTAGTTGGAGTAGACGGAATACAAATGGATCCGAAGAAGGTGCAAGCTATTGTAAATTGGGAGTACCCAAACAACGTTAAGGACGTCAGAGCATTTCTAGGCTTCGCAAACTTCTACCGACGGTTTATAGACGGTTTCTCCTACCTAGCTGCTCCGCTAGTAGCGCTGACTAAGAAGGATACTAAGTTCCTCTTCAATGACGACTGCCAGAAGGCTTTTGATGCTTTGAAGCATGCCTTCACTACTGCACCAATATTACGACACTTCGACCCAGACCTGCCAATTGTTATTGAAGCTGACGCTTCCGACTATGTTACAGCAGGAGTGCTGTCCCAATCTGGACCTGACGGCGTCCTCCGTCCGGTCGCGTACTACTCGAAAAGAATGAACCCCGCTGAGAACAACTACGAGATCTACGACAAGGAGCTACTTGCTATTGTTCGCTGTTTCGAACAGTGGAGACCAGAATTAGAAGGCGCTGCCTTCCCTATCGACGTGCTCAGCGACCATAAGAACCTGCAGTACTTCGCCACTACGAAGCAACTGAGCCACCGTCAAGCCCGCTGGTCTGAATACCTATCACGATTCCAGTTTACGATTACATACCGACCCGGCAAGCACGGTGAGAAGCCTGACGCTCTTACCCGTCGCTCTCAGGACCAGCTTGCTCAGGAGGAAGCGAGACAAGCTCGGAAACAGACCCTACTGCGTCCTGACCTGTTTCGAGAACCCGTAGCAATTAGACTGGTAGAGACAGATAGATCTATCCAGCAGATCATCGACGATGAGTACCGTCCTACAGGCGATGGGCTACCTGAAGACCTGTTTATTCGAGAAACGCTGAAGCTGTTGCGCGACGGCGCACGACGGTCTAAGACAGTTACACTTGGTGACTGCGAAGACCGTGAGGGTCGCCTCTACTATCGCAACAAGTTAGTGATACCTGACAGCGACGAACTTAAGATCAAGATCCTGCGAACAGTCCACGATTCCCCATCAGGAGGCCACCCTGGCCGAGGGAAAACACTTGAACTAATCCAGCGGGAATACTACTGGCCCCGACTGTTTGAGACCGTTCGCCGTTATGTTTCTTGCTGCCACGTCTGCCGACGCTCGAAGGCTTCTCGTGAGAAGTACCACGGCCTGCTGAAGCCGCTACCCGTACCTGAACGACGTTGGGCAGACGTCTCTGTCGACTTCGTCGTTGACCTGCCAGAATCCGAAGGATGCAAGAACATCATGGTTGTAGTAGACCGCCTGTCTAAGTACCGATACATGATCCCCTGCGATAAGATGGAGGCTTCCGACGTAGCACGTATGTTCCTGCGCTACGTCTGGTGTAATCATGGCCTCCCTGATACGATAGTCTCGGACCGTGGCAGACAGTTCGTATCTGCTTTCCATGATGAGCTGTGTGCTCAACTAAGGATAGACCCGCGCTTCTCAACCGGCTACCATCCTGAGACAGATGGACAAACAGAGAACGCTAATGCTGCGATGGAACAAGTCCTACGCGCGTATACGAACTATCAACAAGACGATTGGGTTCAATGGCTCCCCACCGCTCAGTTCGAAGCCAATAATACCGTCTCTGAGTCTACTGGAGTAACCCCGATGATGGCCTGCTACGGTCAGAATCCCCGAATGGGCTTCGAGCCGCCTACCAACAAGACACGTCCCGCCTACCAAGCTCTCCAAGCTCGTGAGGTGAACGCGATGGTGGATAAGATGCGCGACATTACTGAGTTCATCCGTGAAGAAATGACATGGGCTCAAGCCCTACAGCAAGAGTACGCGAACCGCAAACGCCTACCTGCGCCAACATACGAAATTGGCGACGAGGTATGGTTAGACGCGCGTAACATCCGAACGCAACGGGCATCTAAGAAGCTTGATTGGAAGAATCTAGGCCCGTACCGAGTAGCTAAAAAGATCTCTTCCCACGCGTACCGTCTCGAACTGCCCGATTCCATGAAGATACACCCAGTATTTCATGTGTCCTTACTCCGGCCTGCTGCGCCAAAACAGGAGTACCTGCCAGGACAACTTGTCCTACCGCCCGAACCTGTTGTTGTAGACAACGAAGAAGAATACTTTGTAGAGAGTATCGAAGACCTCCGTTACAATAAGCGTCGTAGACGACATGAATACTACGTTAAATGGACAGGCTATGATGAGATGACCTGGGAACCCGCTGCAGACCTGAAGGATAACGCAGCCGTAGCCGGTTTCCATGAGAGGTTTTCTGACATCTTGGAGCCACCCGAAGTGATGCAAGACAACTAAACTGCTACACTACATGACATGATCTCTACTCACAGGAGCTTAAGAGTAAGAGGGGGGTACTGTTACGGTAACCACCGTGGTTCCCTTAACACCTGAACGCACAGATTTCGGGTGGCTCGCCAGTCCACCCGAAATCTGTTAATTGGCCAGCTAAGGCCTGAGCGCCGCGCACGGCCCTAGCTATATCTTTCACCGCTTCTCATTCTGCTCTGTTCCTTACGCAACGTCTTGTATTACACCAGATATCGTACGTAGCTACAATTAACGCTTCTTGTAAGCTCTTAAACACGTGCTCGTAGCGTCTTGTGACAGTTCTTTAGGTTCACATTAGGCAGCGTCGCAGAATTTAAGCTAATTCTAGATAGCTCTTTTAGACAAACTTAATCTCTCTTAGCGCTAGTTTAAGTACTAGCTAGAGTAGCAGCAGGAGTAGACCTAGTCTTAATAGACTTAAGCTCTTAGCAAAGCTCTAGAATCTATTAAGAGTGTTAGTTTTCTTATTTAGCTAGATTAGTAAGTAGTGCTTTGTTACTAGCTTTTAATACAGTAGAATTAGCTTAGATAGTATTTAGCTAATTTAGAATTAATTACAACGCGTTAGATTATTCTTAAGTAGTTATAGTAGTGTAACGTAATATAATATTATAAGACGCTATAAGCACGTGTTTAAGAGCTTATAAGAAGCGTTAATTATAGCTATATATAATATCTAATATAATATAAAACGTTACGTAAAAAATAGAGTAGAATACAAAGTAGTAAAAGATATAGCTAGAGCTATGCGCAGCGCTTAGGCCTTAGCTAGCTAATTAATAGATTTTAGGTAAACTAGCGAGCTACCTAAAATCTATGCGTTTAGGTGTTAGAGAAACTATAGTAGTTACTGTAACACTCTACTAAAACTCTATCTCTCTCGCTATGCTCTAACGTAGTAACGTAGTATTAGACTAAAAAGAAGCTTAGATATAGCTTATAATTTAAGCTCTTAAACAAGATATAATACTTACTATATATTACTGTATTAATAAATATTATAGAAAGTTAGCTGCCGTTTCTAGCAGACCCTGAAACAGGATTCAGGTGCTGATATTCCACCAAACCTCCCTATTGCGCTCGGAGGCTCAGCGACCCACTAGCATTCCGGATGACCACATCAAGATTAGCGCAACTACTAGCGCTTTCTCTCGTCAGGGATGTGCCCTTGTCTTTACATACTAGTTGTAAGCATGCAATCTTCTCATTCCGTACTGGCTTGTAAAAGCAATCCCTGCAATCCCATGCCGAGTCTACTCTAACACATGCGGATGCCGCTTATGTGTGAAGGAATATTAAGATAAGTCGTTACCACGTATATCATCTTTAAAAGACTCTCGCATAGCGAACTACCCAACTGTTTATTCACTGGTTTGTTATCATATCGACTCTACTTCCTCATTGTTCACTGCTCCCTCGTACTGTCAACGAATCCGCCAGTGATTGGGTGCGATGGTTCGCAGTCGGCCGAATGCGCGGTCGACGTCCATCACAACGTCAGATGACGATCCGGACTACCAAACCGATTGCACAAGTGTCGAGGGGGATGACAGAAACGAGACACAATTACAGCAAGACAAGCGCAGCGACAATGGAATGTCTCCGACTAAGTCTGTCCGATCAGCAGAGTACTATATGGCGCTTGCGCACGAGGTCAACAACGCGGACCCCGAGGACTTCCGTGTAAAGAGCACGAAGGATCAACAGAATAATGTCAAGGAGCAATGGATAGCGTGAGTCTTCTTTGACCCTTTTTTCTCTCTCCGCCCTCCCCCCACCAGTGTCTGTCTCTGTTTCAACCTAGTCATAGAGTGCTGAATACTGCACAGATATTGTGTCTGTCTATCGGAAGCAATACAAGCGCCTAAGAAAATAGACCCACAAGAACTAATGGATTCCATAACGATTGGCGATATCGACTCGTTTTTTGAATGGAGACTGAACCAAGACAAAGGAAAGGAAGGCCGGAGGCTCCCTGGAATCAAGACAGCATCCTCCTTGGATACGTTCCGGAAACAGTTCCTCGGGGTATACAGAGATTATACAGAGAAGGATATGGATAGAAAGTTAATGAAAACGACGCTTAACGTAAGTCACAACGCATAATCGTTGAGTATAGAACATAGAAAGGTTCTAACATGTTCGCAAGGTGGGAAGAAGTAAGGCTATAAAGTATCGCTTAAGCTACAACCAGAGAGAGAAACCTACCATAGGCATAGAGGACGTGCTTAAGATCACGGAAACAACGCTAAAAACTGTCAAGAAAATGTTCCAGGTGGGAAGATACCGCATACAGGTATACTTCTTCTTGCAAGGGGGCTTTATCACTGCGAATCGACCAGCTACTCTACTTCAGTTGCGCTACAGAGACATCAAGGTTGTCATAGAAAGAGATCCAGACAGCGGTCCAAACAGAATCGTGTTGCGATGGACATACGCATTCACAAAAACGTACCTAGGGCCCAAACCAGAGTACGTATGTCGGGTTTCCAGCGACTACATGGAGTCCAGTAACGTAGCAAAAACGTTTTTCCAATCCCAGAGATCATATTCGATCCATCTCTAATCCTGAGCCCTCACGTCTTCTTGCTAGGCTTGATGTTTGCCAATAAAGTCTTCAAGAATGATAAGCTCACCCCAGAGAACTTATTCACACTCAAGCCGCGAGATAGGTGCAACATACTCAAAGTGCCTATCAAAGAGGAGGCAGCTGACCTCTAGGTTTTTCGTCGACACGAGCGAACAGGAACAAAACATAGAATAAGTAACGAACCACTGCCTTACGCCACTGTCAAACAGTGGATGCAGGATGTCGGTGAAATTACAGGGTTCAAAGGCGTAGCCAAACCGTACAATCTACAATATAGAGCAGCCAATGCCTTCAACAAGGACAGTCAGTGATAAGCAAAGGCAACAAACACGAGCAAACAAAGAATAAGCTAATTATAATTACAGGTCGCATTAGTAATGCCTTGCGGAACATGATCATAAAACATGCCAACACAGGTGTCTTTTTAAAACATTACTTATCGACAACAATCACCGTAGATACACAAGCTGTTGTACAAGGCTCAGCGCCTCAAGATAAGATAATGCAAGCGCAAAGCAGTATGAGCCGATACATCGATCTGGAAAGACCTCGTGTTCTTACGAAGGAGCAAAAACGATCTGTCGCAAAGACACCGCTCATAAGAGAAATGCAGAAGAAGCAAAACGCATTCGACAAGGGCTCAAAAGGATACAAAGACCTGCAGAGAAAGATTCAGAACGAAAAGAAGTACCTGAGGTACCACCTCAGGAAACGGATCAGGGAAGAATGGGACAGCGAGCGGGCAGAGAAGGATATACGGCTGCAAATCTCCGGTGCTATAATCGAGGAAAAGATCAAAACCGATCCAAGGTGCTTGTCTGAACGATCGAAACCGCATGTGAAGTTGATTGACTCAATCTTCTCGTTACCTGGAAGATCTATCGAAGAAGAAAATGATCGTCGAAGTAACGCCATCAGAGCAGTTTGGAATTACTGCGAAGTTGAGGAAGGCAGCACGCCAAAAGACCATGAAGTAGACTTGCGTGCCAACCATAGGTCTCGAAATGCTGTTGACATAGATGTACTAGCTCTCGCATCGGCGATAAGAGAGGTCTTCGGGAAATACAGAACAACGATATGTTTCATATGTTTAGGCAATGGGAATCTGCCCGTAAAAGAACGTGTGCATGCGTATTCGTCGCCGGGTAATCTGACCAAACACTTTCAGACTCATGTGAAGAAGTTCAATGCAGAAACAGATGAGGTATGTAACTTATGCAAAGCGCGGAATGAAAAGGAAGAGATATGGAAGTTCACGGACAGAAAGTCCATGAAGCTCCATGCCTGGAAGACGCATGGCATTAATTTCGGAGAGGTCTCATCTTCGAGAGGGATGAGATATGCTGAGCTTATCACGTAGGCTGAGCAATTGAAGAACACTGTCAAGGTCCTTCCTATGTCATGTATTCCAATCTATTCCGTAGCGCAATATTCATAGATAATGATTCATCTCAGGACAGATCTATCCCATGTTCGAAAGAATATATTGATACTGGAAACGAAGTAATTACTATTGTACCAGTTTTGACAGGACCTCGGTGGGATTCGTATAAAGCTTAGGCATGCGAGAGAAGAAAGATTATAGAGTGAAATTTCTTGTTTGCATTCTATCGCGAGTCGGATCGACACCACTGTAACAATATCGTGTGCTCCACAGTCCAATCGTTCTCTTAACAGTCCCCCCAGTTAGGATCAAAGCTTACAGGTTAAAGTCAGTCTAGTTTTATTCGAGTGTGATGAGACTCAAAAGTGCTTACCGGAAGGACCAGTCAGCTACAACACTCTCACCACCAAGGCTGCATCCTGAGATTTCATTCTTAAGGCGCATTTTACAGTCCTCACTGTTTAAGGTCATGCTGCCATAACCTTTCCATATAACCCAAAATTCTGCTTTAAGGTTTTAGTACAATTCATAGCAACAATATTTAACCTAACCTTCGGCGAAGTAGCTAGCTAAGCTATAGTCACAGAATTCTGCCACGACTGCATCTGCTCCGTCCACCAACTAGCCATACATATCGCTTCTTATTCCATAACACTTAGGTTAGACCACAGTAGCCCCTAAGGCAAGGAGGGTCAAAAAGCTGTGACAGAGCATAATAGAGTACGAGTAGATATACGGCTAATTCACAAAACTGAGTTCGGCGCGACGTGCAAATAATCAAAGTTGGCTGAGAGGATATAAGAACAAATGCGACTGAGGTTTCTAGCACGAAGAGATCGAGTTTGGACTGGACATCGCTTGATTTTAGCCTCTCTTTCTACACCTCTTGCTAAGAATTGTAATCACGCCAGGGTGTTATCAGTCACTTGGGTTTGGTAGAAGCACATAGGCTCAGTACAGGGGTGCGCATCCACTCAGCTTGCTACACTGCAGCTTCGCTTGCAGGACCCATCCGATAGCGGTGCACGTGGGCGAGCCAGAAGAGACTGGAACGACATCGATAGCAACAGAAGCGCTGACGTGACATCAGTGCGATCCACGGTGACTGTATCTGATCGTCGTCGATGCAATGATGTGAGACACAGATGGACTGGAGGCGCATTTGCAGGTCTGCAGAAAGATCAGGATAAACCCTTGGCGTCGATACAACTAGTACAGTCTTGTCGACAGGGAAGGGACGCCCTCCGTCAGATGCACCTGAAGTCGGAACAGTTTCTCCTGAACGCGCGCCTTAGCGCGCGTGCACCAGTCTGCCTCTATGATGATGGGCCTAGCCATCCGCTATCGACAGCGGACAGTGGCCCCACCTGTTCAGTCTATACAAAGACCCGCTACGATCTGTCGAGACCGTTCAGTCCAGTCGTCGCGCGTTTGCCATGCCATCGCTGAAGCTCGCATCCGACGTCATGCACCAAGGATACCACTTGTGGTGCAGGGCAACGAATCTGGTCTTACTTGCGAGCAGACCCAGTATCCCAAGTGGTTTGTGGCTTGGCGCCTGTCCCAGCATCTCGTCGTCTTCGACCAGGACACATGAGGGTCTGGATGGGATCTGGGTCGGGCAGCGCGGACTCGGTTTGTGCAAGTCGGGCACGCGCGATGGAAATAGCGGCGGCAATGTACTGCGGCCGTCTGCACCTCTTTGCACCGAGTGCGATGACTATGACGCAGCAACGCGACTTCTTCCTTGACCAGCCAGAAGCACTTTCCCACTCGCAAGATACTATATGCTCACAACTCGCTGTCTATACTACTAACTTGCCCTGTTCCGCGTTGCCGCTAGCACATACCATCCTCATCTCTCAACACGCGCACCAGGAACTGCGTTATATCTGGGCCTGCACATGGTCAGAATGACAGATGCCATAAGTGGAGAACACTGCATGGTGAGCAACCAACAAATCTTTGTATTCTCCAGTCAGAGAAGGACGACGAGAAATGACCAGAAGCAAAACAGATCTCAGAATGGATCCTTCTCGTCGTCGTTTATGCAGCCGTCGCTGTGCGTATCTACAGTCGTCTATCTCGTCTCCGCAAGAGGCTGAACCTAGCCGACTGTTTGTTGATCGTCTCTGCGGCTGATGCCCTGGCTCTGGTCATCTGCGACACACTTACATACCAAACGGGCGCGTTAGATGGACATGTGAGATCCCAGAAACTGTCCAAGGTGAGTTTTCGTCCCAATGCTCCTCGTCCAGAGATTTATATCGCTGTTACGAACCAGACCGAGTCTGAGACCGGGCTGCTCACAAGCACAGATACTGTTTGCTTCGAATTATTTCTACGACTTCGGCATGGGCTTCCCAAAGGCCAGCATGCTCGCCTTTTACTGGAACTTCTTCGCGAGCGAAGATCGCCGAGCCATACGCAATTCGCTATCCGCCATCGGTCTCTTCGTTGCTGCTTGCTACTTAGCCATACTTTTCAGCAACACGTTCTACTGTGGCAAGAATGTGTCGGTACAGTGGTCCCAGGCAGACGATACATGCTCTGTGTTTTATGCCCGGACGCCTTTCCTCCTCAATTTTGCACTCAGCCTAGCGTGCTATGTCGTCATCTATGCATGGCCGTTGCTCCCGCTATCGCAGCACGCACTTCGAGAGTCTACTGGACTTCTTGTGATCTTCGTCTTGGGTGCTCTCGCGATAGCCTCTGGTGTCTTTCGCTTCCTATGCCTAACGATAGGCGCTCGCAAAGAAAACCTGATTTGTAAGCCTTCCCTTAGAGGAAGAAGCGGGGTCACTTGACTGATTGGTCTGCACAGATATCCTCAGCATGCTCGAGATGACTCTGTCAATCGTCGTTGTTTCTGCTTCTGGACTGCAGGCCAACCAGTCGCCGTAGGAAAGCGAGCCCGTACCCTAGCTAGATAGATACGACAGCGGGAAGGTGGTGTACGTAATCAGGATCTGCGTTGTGAAACATACTCGAATCAGTCTGTAGTTTCATACTGTTTTACTTGCTCTTAGCACCAGTGACAGCGATTGTGATGTCAAAGAACATGGCGCAGCCAACAATAGATAGATAGCGTGGCCGTGCCACAAAGGCATGATTAGGATCTTGGTTGATTGTGTGCCAGGGTCGTGTGCAACTCAACGATCAAAGCCGAGTAGGTAGCTCGTAAGATGACTTTGTGCTGACGAGAAGCTACAGGCGAGAACCGGAACCCGATCCCAGTCATCGCTGCAAGTGGACGTGCGGTTCTCTTACTCTTGCATGGGTATTGACATGACCGAACATCTCACGCAGCTGCCCACTGCGGATATTGAAGAAGTGAGGCTTCCGAAGCTGGTCGCACAGGATGAGTGAGAGATCGTTCTTGGCTGAGCAGGGTCCGCGCAGCGTAGGCAGGATGTATAGAGTCGTGCTCTCGCTAGCAGAGGCTCGCCGTATGTGGGCGACAGTCGCCTGAAAGCCACTAGAGTACAGAACATGATTCAGGTCGAGTGCATGCAAACGCTGTTCGTGTGTTCAAGGACCCTGATATAAGACAACGTAGTTCGAAAGCAGTTACAGTGGGAGTGAGCTAGCCTCACGCACGAGCAGAAACTATTACAAACTAACAGAGAGTCGTGCAGATAAAGCCCACCCGCAGGCCTCTAGCAGTAAGTCTCTACAATCTCTCAGCGATCCACGGCGAGTTCGCATTCAGTCGCTCGTCCACTTTCTCAACGTACGTAAGCGCGTTATCACACTCCCCTCCTCTTGTAGGCCTAATATAGCTACAGTAAACTTTAGGCTAATACTTAACTATAAGCTTGTGTATACTACGGCATATAAGCGTGTTTCTGCCTAGCTTAAAGCTCTATCTCACCTATATTCCTTTCGTTAGAAAACTATAGCAATCCTCCTAGGAGTTATATTGTGCGTTCTTGCCGCTGCAGTGTCTTGCATGCAAGTTACATATTAATGTTGCAATCTTGTCTACCGTCTTGCCGCTAGCCTCCTTAAAAGACCCGCCCAAGCTTAGGATAAGAGTCTGGAAGAGGTTGCCAAACCACTTAAACACAACGTCATATTGCGTTATTTCGCGAGCTAAGTTCTAAGTCATCTATGTGTTAATCACTACTAGAAGGGAAATATTGTTAAACGCTAGGAAAGTAAAATTAACGCGCGTAGTTGCTGAAGCAATATTCTAGACCGCTACAAACTAAATCACTTCGTATTCTATTAGATTGCCAATAATAGATAGGGAATCTAAGGGCATAAAAAGCCTAAAGATATACTTAGTATTAAGCTCGCGGCCTGCAAAGGTGCGCGTGTTGGAGACGCGCCCTAGAATCTTTAAGTAATTAATACAAGCATCTTAGTGCGAGAGTAATAGGCTTACGTCTTTAGAGAATATAGTTAAGTTAATTAACTCCGCTTCTTTTACATTGTTAGGTATTATCTATCGCTCATAGAACTTGTGCTAGAGGCGCCAGAGTTCGTCATACCCTAGATCTAGAGTAGGATCTGTTTGCGCACAAGGATCCAGAAGACGTCAGCGCTGGGCGATCTTAGCCGCTAGGGCTTACTTACCAGCGATGACTCCAAGCAGACCCGACAGAATCAGCAAGTACGCAGAGTTCTTCATGTTCTTCATGTTCTGAAATCGTATGGTGTGGACAGTGTCTCGGCTGATTTGTGCCTGAGGTCACGGATCTATACGCGGACTCGGGCTCTTATAGTCTCCCACCAGATGCGCTACAGTCCAGCCCGGAAACCGACAGTGTCTCCTATGGCTGCACATGCCGGCTGTTTTGCCCGCTATCGTGGATCCGAGCACCATGCAGACGTGAGATTCACCCAAGACGCTGTGGCTTGACCACACGGGGAACCACCCAGGGAACTACGCGGGCAACCACGCCTAGACCTAATAATGCTTGGCCATGACTTCTGAGGTCGCAGATCTTGCAAGATAATAATACAGTATTTTGTTCAAAGACATCGCCAGCAACACGTCGGTCGCAACAGCACTGCTTTCTACAATGGCATTCTTTATTGGCGGTAGAGACTGCATAGTAAGTTGCTGGTGCAATCCCGTTGGACATAGCAATGCTGACGGACGAGACTCTCCAGGTCGTAGAATGGACTTTCCTAGTCGTCGCCTGCGCTTTCGTCGCTTTGCGCATCCACGCGCACGTTTATTTCCACCGCAAGAGACTAAACTAGTCCAAGATTTTGCTAGTAGCGTCTGTCCTTAATGCTTTAGGTCTAATTATCTGCAACACCCTCACTTTTCAGATAGGCGTATTAGACGACTATCAGGCTTCCGAAAGACTATACAAGGTACGCGCTGTTTGGAGGACACAGGCTCCCGTCGCCAACCTTCTGCCACGGCGCAAATCGCTACAGATCAGCCGCGTGGTTCTCTGAGAATAGCCGCTGACAGCTCAAAGATCTCCTTCGCCTCGAACTATTTTTATGATTTCGGACTGGGCCTGCCTAAGCTTAGCATGCTGGCTTTCTACTAGTCCTTCTTTAACCTCAACTGTCACCAAACAGTGCAGAAACTCTTATTATTCGTAACTACCTTTGTTGTTGTCTACTATCTAACAAGTCTCTTCAACAACACTTTCTTCTGCGGCAAAGACATCTCTATACAGTAGTCTTAAGAAGAAGGTGCATATTCTATGTTCTATGCTTAGGAGCCTTTTATCCTCAACTTCGCGCTTAGCTTAACTTGCTATCTAGCTATCTACGTGCTCCTAACAACCCTCCTTGTCTAAGGAATCCTTAAGACATCTACTGCAGTTGTTCTAACCCTCGCTATAGGAACACTTCCTATAGTTATAGGCATTGTTCGCTTTATCTACCTTAAAGTTGGGACAGGCCAGGAAAATCTTGTTTGTAGGTTTGACAACCATTACTGTACCACTGAAATTTGTGTGCTAACTCGACGCTACACAGATATCCTGAGCATGGTTGAGCTGACTCTAGCTATTATTGTCGCCTCCTTGCCCGGACTAAAAGCGCCCTGGCTGAGAAACACAAGAGCCATTGAGGGTGATTTGACAGCGACAGTAGAGCTCAGAGAAGATAAGAAGTCACTGGTCACGGCTACCGCTGAGCAGGTTTGAAGGGGCGAAATGTGCTTGGGGGAGTATGCAACCCATTCTACTTGGGTTTGCTCTACAACCAGATCTTTTCATACTATACGGAGGACAGAAGATACGAACGGGAGGCGCTGAGGAGTACACCCCAGCAGCAGCACCTCAAATCTAACGTACACCAATGAAAACTGTACCGTTTCAAAATCATTGCGGCCACGCAAACTTTTCCATACTGTTTCTACGCCGCTCGTCTAGTGTGACTAAAGGAACCCAGCTGAACGTGAGCGTAGAGTGGCAGTGCTACAGCAGACACATGGGTCGTCCCAACAAGCTGAGGTCGGGCGTTCCGCTTGGGTATCGTTGCCCAGGTAGTTTCTCTCTAGCGCCATCTTGTGGCAGCCTCAGTTCAGCAATAGATGTTTATCACGAGTAGCGTTTGCGAAGGCGCCCCACCCCTAGTAGTCATGTTAGAACGATCAGTGGCTTTCGCACGGACCTACTCTACACGCGCTAGCCCCCGAGCTGGGCGATCATTCGAAGCATGACGTCAGCATCTCCACTCGTTCAGAACCACTCGGGAAGGGCCGCACATCATGTGTATGTACAAATATATCCATGCAATGCCGAGTCGTGCTACATCCTGGTGGCAATGCCACGTAGGCTACTGGCGCTGACTTTGCGGATGTGGAAGGATGGGAAGATAGGGACAGTATTCTGTTTCAGCTCTGGGCCCGGTCGGCGTTCTGTTTGATCAGCAACGCCGCTTACAGGTGACCGTGGAGTTCGGGCTACGATACATTCAGCGACTGGCTAGGCAGCGCCAGTTATCTGTTGCATCGTTTTGTGAAACGCCCTGGCAGATATTGTGAAGCGTAACGTGCGGATATACGATGCAGCAGAGCGGTTTCAGCTCTCTGTATGGATATTGAGTTTGCAGATAGTAAATGGATCAGATAGTAGTATGCACATAAAGAAGTTTCACGCTGAACGAATTGGATTATGCGCCTTATGGCCTGAAGAAGTGACCAATTAGCCATGATGTCCTGCTATATTCCTGAGCAAGGGCGTTGGGTGCGCCTTCATGATCATTCTGCGAGGGTGAGCGGTGGGTGAGTGAGGGTGAGTGAGGGTGAGTGAGGGTGAGCGAGGTAGAGCAGCGTACGGTATGAACAGTCTATCACTATCACAAAAAGATAGCCATGAAACTTTGATACAGACATATCTGTTGAATCTACTCAAGCGTCTTCTCCTATCATCTACAAAATCTAGAGCATACAACGACCTGAGCACTCGTGCGGTGCAGCCACTCACTAGAAATTACAAAGCCAACAACACCGAGTCACAGCAAGACGTTTGGAGGCCTACAAAGAGACACCATTTCAGCCTGAGTACTGTATGAAAAGTCATTCTGATTGTTTGCATGCTTTTGGACCCGCATGTAGTCTAGCGTTAACTCCATCAGTGCATATTGCATGATCTGCGTATATTGGGCACCTAATAGCGGCATCACCAAAGCCTGTCAGCATACCTTAAAGGCACCTGGCCGCAACACCTCCAAGCACTGGTCAACCTTCAATTCAGAATCCTCAAGGGTTTTGACTGCTACCTAGTGGTGCTACGAAGTAGACAGATCTTGTTGATCCGGTGATAGAGCTTCGCATTTGTTCTTTACATCCGCCCCGTTTTCTCACGTGACGGCATATCATGGGATGCAGTATTGGAGTCGCAGATCTGGCGAAATAAAAAGAGCAAGGTACATTCACCTCATCGCACACAGTGATCAAGCATCTCACCAGCGTCCCAAGTGCTCGCCAGAAACCATACCCTGGACGGTTAGTGGGTAACCAACTTCCAGGAACAATGCACTTACTATGTTTGGGATTGACCTAAGTACCCGCGGGGCGGTCATCTAGCGTTTTGCAGTAGACTGTTTGCAGGTCAGAATAGCAGGACTGTGGTGAGCGGGTGAATGCGAAGTGGAACGTGCTGCCTATGACCCTCATAGAGCACGTGATAGTGAGAGAGTTCAGCATTAGCCCAGAGTTTGCTTAGCAAAGGGGACAAGAGACCCGCTGCTTGACGACGAGATTTGGGCTCGGGGAAACCTCTTCCGAGACTGAAGGTTGTGCCCGGAACGAGGAGGGTAAGAAGCTCTTGAGTAGCGCATTTGGATGAATGCTGCCAAAGTGCAAGAGTGATGACGTGGAAGATCCGCAGCGTGCGGATATAGCACATCCAGGAAGTAGTACGCGACAAACGTTAATCTCATGTCTGAATGCACACTACTGTCATACTCTTCGAGATTTCCCACTTAACGATCCTGGCCTTCCTTTCCAATCTTTACCTTATTCTGCTCCAACGGCCAATGGACCTAGATCTGTCAATGCAGGCAGATACATTCACCTTGAAGACGGTGCATTCTTCGGCGACGTGTCTGGAGGAGTCAAGTCAAGTCGTCGCGACGTTCCCGATCAATCTAGCCACACGTAATGAACATTCATTGATATTTGAGGCTTTCTACCTCGTTTGTGAGACCCAACCAACTGTTCTCGCTCTTGCGGTTCTTGTTCCCGCAAGTCACTAGACAGAGCCCGTTTGGTAGGCAGAGTTCTGGGACCTAGCCACACCGACTAAGCATTTAGTACGCGCCTATTATAAAGAGGCTTGTTCCCTTAACACTAGATCGCAGCGTAAACACATCTTTGCAGAATGAAGACCACAGCGCTTTTCTTAATGCTTCCACTCGCCGTAATCAGTTAAGAGGAGTACAACTGCGTGCTTAATAGCATCCCAGCAATCTCTATCATAGCAGCGCAGGGCACTAGGGTCCCCTCACGAGAATTTTTCTTGCCTCTGTTTGCTAATTGCTCTAATACTAAGCTGAGGAGGCCGCTGCAGCACTCGCTAGGGATGTTGGTAGCCTAACTAGCTTAGTCTAATACTAACTGCTAGCAGGAGTAATCTCTATAGAGAACACGCTACTAGAAGTGGCTAGCTCTTTCATAGCTACAGGAGTTACAGACTGGTTTAGTTTTACGGGAAGTAAGTAAGCGTCGCGTGTTAGTAAGTTCTTTCCCTTGCGCTAGTCCGCTGTGTTGCTATTACGCAGGACGTGATCAGGATATTCAATAGCAGCGGCGCTGCGAACATAAGCAGGAGCGGAGCGGCAGTGCCTATCAGCAGTATACTCTGCGGCCGGTGAGTGCCAATATGGGTGCGCTAGAGACGATACCACACGTAAAGGGACATGGACGAAGTTGTTTAGAGCTAGATTGCATATCACACAACCAGAGAATCTCAAAGACCACGTACATTCCCACGGAATCGTTTCAGTGCTCATACAGCAGCAACTAAC